TTGCATTCAGACGTTAATGCTTCTGCAGGACAAAAAGGGGATGCCTGTGTTTGACCCAATAAGTGAAGTGTGAAAAAGGAAATTGCACCACAGTTCAACACTTGGAGACTTGAAAGAAGATGCTTTTCGGTCATGGGCCCTCTTCCTGAACATGAGCAACATGCCTGGTTTTTAAATGTCAGGTATTACTGACTTCAGTGCACACGTGTCCCAAAAGCTGCAAGAACATTCATAAAGCTTCACCTCCAAAACTTGTCTGACCTCAGCCGCGGTGTTTTTAAAAGAATCGCAAACGATTTTCCATTTCCTGTGGGTTTAAATGTAAGCGGCAAGCGAGGCTCCCAAAACTAGCACAGCGCCGTGCTGGTGWAAAGTGTCGTGAGCGAGCGCATGCACGTCGCAGCCACAACCACATCCTCATCACAGTCAGGGAAATGACAGAAGCTTGAAAAGTGCAGCCCTGGTTTGCGTCGGTGCCGCAGAAAACCTGCAGCATAACGACCGACTGAGATGATGAAAAAAATGAATCATCTCTGAAAGTCCTGAAAGGTGCTTTGTTTTCTGTGCTCGATCTAACATAACGATGAGTTTCCTGTGAATTAAAGTTTTTCATTTTCCTTCTTCTGAGTTCGAACGAGGGAAATTAATTTTTCTTTCTTTGGGGATTAAATATGCAGCAGCTTCTCTTCGTTAAAGTTGTTTTTTTTTCAGTCGCCCGTTAAATTCTGCTTAGCGTCGCTGACAAAAACCCTGACCTCACTGGGGGTTCAGTTGACCAAAGCGTTGACCAGAAAATCCATCCAACTGTGAGGTTATCCTCGGTGACACTGGTTGGCAGGGTGCTGCTGTTGACGTAAACAAATGCCCAGCTTGGCAGTCGCCCAACAGGGGCTTTGAATAAATAGCCTTTCCTGCAGATAAACAGCGAATTGTTTACTCAAACTGAAGGATAACTTATTTAACTTCTATTTTTTTTCCGTTTCTGTAYGATTTTCTTTAGTTTTGTTTTTGTGAGTGGGCGCAGCCGCTCCGAACTTGGCGGCGACATTTAATCTTCATAAACCTAATTACTGTCAAAATGTTCTCTCAGTTGACTTTAAGCTCAATTGACTTCATCAGGAAAGTAAATTCCTTTTAAGTGTTCGCTGCTGACAGCTTAATGATGGGACTGAAACACTCTGTCCTCTCCGATCACTGACAGGCACGGTAAATGCTTACAGGTGACGTTAATGTTGACAAATTAGCTTCGACTGCTGTGAATTAGTGAGTCGTTGACGTTAAAACAAGCTATAAAAACTAAATGCGTGGCTTTTTATTTCCTCGTGATAACATTAAAATCATAGGTTGGCTTTAAAAGAGTCGGTTCCAGCGGTTACTCTGAAAGTTTACTCAATCCATGCAAGTTCATGAAATATTTTGCTAACACAATCACTAAGTTTGCTTGCTTTAGGTTTGCATCAATATAAATTATATTCCGTTTTATATGGTGGGAGTGAAGTAAATGAGTGCTTTAAAGGGCCAATATTATGTGTTTCTCAGGCATACATTTAAAATACTAAACCATGATAAAGTATCTATGTCACCTTTAGTTATTATTAAAATGCTGTTTTTATTTTTAAATAGAAAATAACTTCTCATCACTTCCTCTATGATGCACTATTATGCAGTTTACTCGGCATCTGAAAATACATTTCCTCAAAGGTATTTTTAATCTGAAAAGAGCTTCACTGAGTGAGAAC